GTGTGATCCGGTAGCGATGCACGGCTTGTGACCTAACGTAACATATGTATATACAACATATGTTACGTACTGTACATGTAAACATCGATGTTTGACTGTGTATATTCGGCGCTTTCTATCGAGCTAGAAACCAAGCACCCCTCTATCAAATTCATCGAAATCTGTTGTATATACCTGTATATAAAAATTTTATACTACGATTTTAATTTTGTAATAAATAATACGGATCAAACATAGAAAAGTAAACCGTGTTATGCGATTTCCTGCTATACGAAACAGAGTACTAGTACAAAAAAATGGGATTACGTTCCAAAAGTTAATAGTAGTGTTTCGTTAGCGTTACTTCGCCTAATGATAACAATTACAATTAAAAGTATTGTATTACGCCCTAATATTAATTTTAGTTAAACGAGGGCGCTTTCGTTTTACGAAGTGTCCTCGTACACGTGGCGGCCATTTTTAAGATGCAGAAGTCGACCATGTGCCATTGGTAAATGCAATTTTTATCTTATTATACATTATTTATTTGTTTTTAGTGATTTTTAATATACTGTTTAAGACATTTAACTGTGTTATATATGCCTTGCCGTTTACCGGAATGGATATTGTTTAGGGCCTGGTTAATAGGGAACGGATTAATTCGCTTCCATTATTTCTAATGGGGTAAATCGATTCGTATAAGGCCTCCTGTAATAAATTAAATTCGAAGTACGAGGAATCACTGTATTTTAGAACATATATTCTTTACATTTTTATTTCTAAACATGACAGTAAAATATGTAAATGAATACTATGAGGAGTGGTGGTATACCACCACTCCTCATAGTATAGTTTAAAATATTCTTTTAACAATTAATTATTAGAAATGAAATTTAAATTTTTATGAGATAATTAAGAAGAATTTTCAATTGTTTTCCCCTGGTTTCTCTTTCCATTTTTTAGACAGTAATTATACAGGGTAAACTTATAAGTCTCGAACCATAGAAGTTTAACCAGACTTATGTATTATCCTAATTTGTATTAATATTATTTAATACCTTTACAATTTAAAGCTTAAATTATTTAAAATTATATATTATAATTATTTAAAAGGCCATTAAAATATTCAATAAGATAAAAGTATTTCAAATTCATGAAATTAAGTAATGCATCGGAACAACTTCCATGTTCGTTGTATACGTTGTTAGGTTACTACTGTATTTATAAAAGAATGTTGATTTTTATCGTAAAATGCCTGATACTTTCTCTATTTTACTCTAAGACTTTTCCATCTTTCTCTTGATCTTCTCAGTTACTTTTCCTGTCATAGAAGTTTCGTGTATACGTTAGCTGGTATCCTTTTCTTACTGTACTACTTGTATTATGTAACTCCACTGATTTATTCTAACTATCTTTCTAAGTCCAAACTTTCTCTAATCTTTTTCTTTTTGATTTTATATCTTCGATGTTTTTATTTCTACATCCTGCTCTCCGCTTATATCTCTATCAGTCCAGTTGCTAGAAACATATGTTAAACTACAACTATTGAATACATAGGGCGTATTGACTAGTGAAGAGGCTTTAATACGGCTTTATAAGTTCAGCTATAGTTTTTTCTTTCAAATGAAACAGAGTATGTCATCGGTTTGCTTATACAGCTGTACAAGTTCATTACTAAGCAACGCACTCTTAGACCGTAGCCTACATCTATTAGCTTAAATACAGTATTTAAAAATCCTACAAAAAATACATTGATTTGAAATAATTGTCTTTTTTTTAGTACGTTCTGTGTGTCTGCAATTGGTTAAAAAGGTAAGGGGTTCCTGATTACGCTAATGAAACACACGCTCATTCACATATTTATACTACACACACACACTCCTGGATATCTCTTGGTGCTCTTAGAACTGAAAGAAACTACTAGAATGCTCTTAAAATTTTTTTTTGTTTTTTTTTTTACTTATCTTTCTTTTAAATAATGACTTTTTGAAAGTTAGTGTACAAAAGATATTAGCGAGGTTTCGGCCGAAGTTTTCATCTCTCAAACGTGAACGTCGAACGTCGAGCGCCGCTTACAAGATAACGGCGCTCGACGTTCGACGTTCACGTTTGAGAGATGAAAACTTCGGCCGAAACCTCTCTATTGTGTTATTTAGGTGTTCTGTTGTTCTGTCTTGAATAAGCAATGTTTGTTTTTTTTTAATGTAATACACGAATTAAAAGGCAAAATAATAATATATAATGGTACGAATGGAGAATTCTGAATCCCTTAAGCTCACCTCTTCTATTATCTGAGTCAAAAAAAAAAATGTTGCAAAGGCGCCTGACACTAACTTCTCGAGTTTTGTGGAAAATATTTGCAACATTCAATTTAGAGCTCTTATAGTGTGTGATCCGGTAGCGATGCACGGCTTGTGACCTAACGTAACATATGTATATACAACATATGTTACGTACTGTACATGTAAACATCGATGTTTGACTGTGTATATTCGGCGCTTTCTATCGAGCTAGAAACCAAGCACCCCTCTATCAAATTCATCGAAATCTGTTGTATATACCTGTATATAAAAATTTTATACTACGATTTTAATTTTGTAATAAATAATACGGATCAAACATAGAAAAGTAAACCGTGTTATGCGATTTCCTGCTATACGAAACAGAGTACTAGTACAAAAAAATGGGATTACGTTCCAGAAGTTAATAGTAGTGTTTCGTTAGCGTTACTTCGCCTAATGATAACAATTACAATTAAAAGTATTGTATTACGTCCTAATATTAATTTTAGTTAAACGAGGGCGCTTTCGTTTTACGAAGTGTCCTCGTACACGTGGCGGCCATTTTTAAGATGCAGAAGTCGACCATGTGCCATTGGTAAATGCAATTTTTATCTTATTATACATTATTTATTTGTTTTTAGTGATTTTTAATATACTGTTTAAGACATTTAACTGTGTTATATATGCCTTGCCGTTTACCGGAATGGATATTGTTTAGGGCCTGGTTAATAGGGAACGGATTAATTCGCTTCCATTATTTCTAGTGGGGTAAATCGATTCGTATAAGGCCTCCTGTAATAAATTAAATTCGAAGTACGAGGAATCACTGTATTTTAGAACATATATTCTTTACATTTTTATTTCTAAACATGACAGTAAAATATGTAAATGAATGCTTATACCACCACTCCTCATAGTATAGTTTAAAATATTCTTTTAACAATTAATTATTAGAAATGAAATTTAAATTTTTATGAGATAATTAAGAAGAATTTTCAATTGTTTTCCCCTGGTTTCTCTTTCCATGCAGAAAAATCCCAACGTCGGACATCTTCGCAATTTATGAGAGGACTTCTATTAAAAAAAATAAATTAATTATAACAGAATTATATAATAATTTTTCCACTTCATAATATAATTAATTAATTAATTAATTAATTACTCACCCGAACACAAATACATTTTCCTCTATTTTAGAAATGTTAGTGGTGTAACAAATCAAATGACTGAGTTTAACTGTTTTAATTAACTCCATCTGATCTATTAAAAACAGATTGTGATTATTTCAAACGACATTTTATAAATTTGCAAAAACTAATAGATATTTATTTAATTATTGAATTAATTAATAAATGTACCCGGTTTTAGACAATTCTTATGTCCGCAGTAATGTCTCCATCCAAATTTAAAACGAAAAAATTGTAGACCAATAATTGTGGCTGCTGTACGTCCAACTGTGGCATTTTCCAAACGTTTTTCGCAAACCAAACCCGTGAAAAAATCGATACATTCCACGCTAAAGTAATTAAATTATGCATAATTATACTATTCAATTAATATATTATTAAATAGTTATAGCATGGTATAAACCACCACTTACCATTGGTAAACTTCTTGCAATATCTTCACAGTGGAGTAATCCATTAAACCACATTTGGCTAAATCTGAAAATTTCTCAATTTTGATTCCGTATAGAAAAGATAGATATTTTATGTAAGGAGGTAGACCCTGATCTCTTCCTCTTTGTATATTCATTGAAGCAAGATCCAATCCTATTCTCGAATTATTTACTCTATATAAAAATGTTGTCAGCGACTGTACTAATAAACGATCAAATTTCTCTTCTGGTTGTTTAGTCGACCCTCTTAAAATGTCTTCGATCCCTCGATTAAGTATATAATCATTAATGCAAAAGTTATCTCTTAGCTGTATTTCTTCCATTGTTCCATCTTCGGTAACTAAGAAGATTGGATCGGGAACTGTAGAATGAAGTCTGAAAGCACAACCAGCGAAATCATTATATAATTTGNCAATTTTATTTTTTAATTCCACCACAGCTAACAGCATGACCCAGATACGGTAGATACTAGACAGCAGTACACGGCTCCATTTTTCTAAAACGATATTAGTCCCCTCTTTTTAAATCCAGGACCGTGGGCTGCCCATTTCTCGGGCCATAGACATTTGTCTAGTACGCTCAATGATTAAAACGGCTCCGATTATACCCAGTCATAGATGAACGGATGCCCAGGTAGTCGAGGCGTAATGGAGAGGGAACTCAATTGATAAAATAAGTAAACCACACGAGCGATCTGCGAAAGAGGTACCTCAAGAAGGACTTATTATGTTTTAGGAAAACTGGCTCCTATTTTTTTCTTATTTACGTGTTAGGCACGCTGTTGGTGAGGCGCAAACCCGCGATTAATCACCAGAGTTCAACGGTTTTATCCATTCGGCTATTCCTTTATGGACTAACAGTTTACAGATAAATCCCGAACGAAAAAAGAAAACTTTTAAAATGAAATATATAAAATAATATCCTAACAAAATTATTTTACCTTTACTTTCAATTTCACGCAATTTTTGGACCTCTAATTCGGCATTTCTTACTAATTCACGTAGATAATCGTCGTCGATCAAGCTAAACAACTCTTCGATTTCACGAGCGGAGACAAAGAATACGCCCAAGGCCAAGCTGTAAATTACAGAAAAACTTATCTATAATATTCTAAATCGATTATATTTTCGTAATTCGGCGTAAAATCTAGAATTAAATAAGCTAAAAACGTAAGGAGAACAAAGAAACCGAGCCTTACCTAAGCGCAATGTTGAAGTACATGTTCACAGACCCATCAGCATTTGTGCTATTTGATTATATACAAATAGTAGTCACAAATGTAGGTGTTCTCTACACAAGTGTTCAGGTGTTTATGAATAAATTTAACAAATAATTTGATTCGAAAAAACAAAAATTATTATAAATTTTTGATGATAAAGTATAGAATTTATTAGTTTAATTAAACAGTTTTAGAGTTATAATTTTTAAACAAAAAACCATCATTAAATACTAATTTAGATAAATATTAGAACAAAGTGGGTAATTGTAATATTTTAAATTTTTTAATTTTAAAATTAAATAATAATTTGTTTCATTTTATGTTTCGTATATGTTTTTCTAATTGGAAACAGCTGTTTATAAAATCTCGATATGGAACCATAACAGCTGTTTTTATGTCGAAATTTCGAGTGATTTTTATTAGAAATTATTTGCTAAAATATAATTTCATTACTTTATCGGTTAATTTACAAGCAAAGATCTCAATTAAAGCATTTATTTGGTTGAATTAGACGTTGCAATCGATCGTGCAATACATTTTTGTTGAGGCTCACTAACACCTTTATTTTAAACTGAATCTATAAACTCACGCTTTCAATACATCAGCCATGTAAAATGCAAGAAAAAACAATTCGCCTTTATATTTTGAAGAAGAAATAAACTTGTTTGCTTCGAACCTTTAAATTCTGTAAAAGGGAAATCACTTGTCTACCCAAAAGACTATCTCAGTGCCCACTTTTGAAATCTTAACATACAATACCACAAAAATCATCATTATAAGATTTATTAACCACGTTTCTACTTTAAAATTCTTTCATTATTACCCTCTTTGTGCCTTTTAAATCGTTTAAGTCACGTTATTTCAATTCAAAATCTTCCTTCGAAAGGAGTTAGATAGATGACATGCACGACTCTATTGTTAAAAGTATGATTAACAGGGGCAAGCAACTATTAATTTAAGAAGAAACAAAGTAATATCAATGGCGGTGGTACTGAATTTGGTACTTATGCATTCCCTATCAGGATCTTTCGAGTCCATAATGAGTGTGGATAAAGTATCACTTTATACAGGAAGGGTCGAAAGGTACTGGAATGCATTTATAATTTGGTTGTCTCTTCTATATTATTTACAGGGGAGAAGAGCTAGAAGGAAATCGCCTCCACCACGAAATCGTCCTAATTAAAATGCTTAAGAAGAATCACATATTCAGTTGTTAAAAGCTTTATTATTTTAATAATGTATTATAACAGTAAAACAAATTATTTTCTATCTTTAACAACAATTCATCATTTAATTTTTAATAACAACATAAAGAAAATTGGATAATTCTTCTTAAATTTTAATCCTCCTTCCACGCAGAGAGATCCAACGGAGGGAAATCACGGCAACGTATGATGCGACTTCTGTAAAAATAAATATAATATATTTTGTATTTTATTCTTAGCAACGTAACATCGAATAAATTACACTTTATATATCCGTATAGATGATATATACCCTCTTATAAATGGTATACATGATACTTACCCTCTTATAAATGGGGTTTCTGTTATTTCAGCCATTCCATTGGCATAGCAAAATACATGACTGAGTGAGACTTCTTCAATAGCTTCGCTCTGTTCTATTTTTAACAATTTTTATTGTTAATATTTAGAATTAATTTTCTTATGTGTATCAAAATTATCTATTAATATCGGTATACCTAATGTTAAATAATTCCAATGCGTGTAAAAATGTCTTGCACCGAATTTTAAACGATAAAATTGTCGTGCAATAAGTATGGCTGCTGTAGGTCCAACAACTGAATTTCTCTGACGTCTTTCACAGATTAAACCCGTAAAAAGATCGATGCATTCCACACTGAAACAATTCAATTATAATTAATTAACTACAAGTAGAAGAAGTTTACCAGCAATACGCGTACTTACCATTGGTACACATTCATTAATTTCTCTACAGTAGATCTATCCATTAAATCATACGTAATTAAATCTGAAAATGTTTCTATTGTGAATCCGTGAAAGTAATGAACGTATTGAATGTAAGAAGGAAGGCCGTGGTCTCTCCCTCTTTGTATATTTATAGAGGCAAGATCCAATCCTAAACTCGTAGTATTTCTTCTATACATAAATGTAGTCAGTGACTGAACTAATAAATCATCGTAATTTTCTTCCGCTTGTATAGTTGCTCCTCTTATTACGTCTTCGATTCCTCGTTGGAGTATGGTAGTCACATCGAAAAAGGAATCTCTTAGAAGTATTTCACTCTTTCTTCCGTCTTCGGTAATTAGAAATATTGGATCGGGTACTATAGAATGGAGTCTATAACCGGCAGCAGCGAAAGAATTTATTAATTTCATAGGAACCGAATTATAATATCTCGTATATCCACCATCGTGTAAACGTCTCGCTAAATCCGGCCCAATAATTAATGGAAGAAATTCGGTATAGACGATGTGTTGATAGACACAAATAACATATTTTCTGGTAAAGTAAAATTTGAATTTAATTTTAATAAATAAATGTTTATATAGAAGATAATAAAATTTTATGTACCTTGTTTCTTGATATAAAGTTTCTTCCGTCCATTGTGGATTCATTATTTTCAATTCTTCGGCGATTCTATTGTGGAATCTGAGGAAAGTAATGTGCATCGATGCTAAACCCAGGTTTTGGTTCGATCTAAAATCGCCTTAAGTAATAAAATAACTTATGTAAAGCGCATTTTATGTTTATAACAGACATTTTGTAGGGTACTCTTATCTTTGAGGACAATAAGAGGACCTCCTATATCCTATATCCGTACCTAACACAGACAAACATATATATATAAATATATACCTGTTTTAAAGCATTCATTAGGCGGATTGCATAGATTAGGAGCATTCAAATTCAAATCTGGCATTGGAAACTCTCCGACTGATGTCATTCTAGATGCTAATTTACCTTTATAAAGATGTTTAAAAAATAATTAAATACATCTGATAATAGATAAAGAGAATAATAAAATAATTATTAAAATTACCAGTTCCATCTAATGTTCTTAGTATTAGAGATCGATTTAAATCTGTATCGTACACTTGAGAACAATCGAGTGCCGGAGTTAAAGAATTCATCTGTTCTCTCCAACCTGTCAATGGTAATGGGTCGATATAATAATAATAGCATAATATTTTTAAATTATACAATAATATTTACCTAAATTACAAGTTCCACATCGGGCATCTCGCACAAAATTCATGCAAGTAATATTTGGAAAATCGGGATCATTCGGACCAATTTCAATAGGTAAACAAGTTTCGTGAAGAGGAGGATCGCCGCAACACTGGATCGCTGAATTATTTACTATTTAAACAGAAAATTCATTTAAATATGTTATATTTGAAATTATTAAATACAGTAGAATCGCTCTGTAGTGAGACCTTTAGCGAACATTTCTGACTTCCGCCATTTTGTGTCGTTATATCGATACTAACACGCTGTATTTACTGTAATTTAAAAATGATGGCCAGATGCTAAATCGGGTGTCACTATAAAGCACGTTTCGAATTAAAATATTTACTTACTTGACGTAGGTTGAGTGGTAAATTCCATGTCGTGATCGACGAATTGTCCGAAAATCGAAACCAGTGCAGTGTAACGATAACTAAGGCTGCCATAATTTCCAGTTCTATGAACATTTAAAGTTATATTTCTCGGATCTGGTGTAGGGCATTCCCTACATATTCTCGGGGTATCCACACCTCGAATATAAAATATTCATTAGAAGAAAGCTTTATTTAATTTACCAATAAAATTACACATTTTCTTACCATCGGCATAATCGGGAGGTAATAAACGATCCAAACAGGAGAACGTCCTTCCTTCGTTTGGCCTATTTAAATGATTGCAACTTCCATCTATTGTAGGGTATTTTGTATCGGTGCAATCGACTGGTCTGTTGTCCACACATTGCTCCTGTAATTGCTTGGTGATTTCGTTATTCTTCAGAGGATACTCTCGTAGTAGATTTATATCGGTTGAATCTAAATCATATCTTTAAAAAAAATAATAACATTAATGTATTATTTGAACTGAAGTAGACAAGAGCTAGCTTGAACTGGAAGGATCACGATTCAGTTCAGGCCGATTCGTGTCTGCTCTTTCGAAGGGCGGACTATTATAGGATATTATACCTTATTAAATGATTTATTTATTAAATAATTTACCTGCCAACTATATCACGTGTCATTATTTCAAGCATGGTTTGAACATCGTTAGGGTGATATGCGGGACACGTTTTTAACTGATGTCTTCCTTCGGCAGAAATAACGTAAGGATTCAAGTATTTTGCTGTAAGAAATTGAAAGGTAAGATCCATAAAGATTTCTCTCGGTATTTTAGAAAATAAATAATTAATTATGTAAACATCAAAAGTAATGTGAATATTATTAAAGAGTGATAGAAACGAAGACCCTGAAAAAAATCTAGAAATATTAGATTCAGCATGCTTTACACTGTGAAAGAATGAGAAAATGACCTAAATAAGGGTCAGTTTTTCATAGAAAAACCGTTGGCGAGGCGCGAACCCACGACCAACTCCAGAGTTCAGTGGTTTTTTCCACTCGGGCACTGATTAAATTTGCCATATAAGATCCTACAAGGTACTGAAGCTTTAAATTCTACCATTGTACCATGTACTTTGTTAACAGTATAATTACTTTTTACCATGATCTTTTTTAAAATTCTTTCCTCCCTGTGGCACTAAGAGGGCCTTTTTAGGAAGCCCGTTATGGCTTCGGCTATACCGGGTGATGAGGGAACGGGATACGAAATATCCAAACAGACAACCTGGGATTCGATCACCCATTACAATCCGAATGGATGAAACCACTGAACACTGGCATGGTCGTGGGTTCGCGCCTGTCCAAAAGGGTGTGGCACGTGGTGTTTTTCGGGTTTTCTTCTCGTTAGTAACACCTAAATAGCGGCCAATTTATCATAGAAAATCACTCTTCGGCAGTGTCGCGTTGTCGTATATAAATAAACCAAACCTTAGCTCGACGAGGACATAAAACACATATCTAATTATACACTTAGTTATTTCTAATTTGGATAATATATGCCGTACACACCACTACATTTATTCGATATGCTGATTTATTATGCATGCGAGGCATTAATAGAAATGAATATATCTTTTATTCTCAATTTCGTTCGTACTATTTCTCGAATTTATATAAAAAATTACACCGATTAAGTTAAAACCTGGAGGAACCGTTGATGGAATGAGGCAAAGCAACACCTGGACGATCTCCCCTATAGAAAAAAAAAAGGGCCCATATTTAGGTGTTAGACACGCGAGAAAGACCGGAAAACTGCACGTAACCAGCTCGTTTGTCAGGCGCGATTTATTTCCAGTTATTAATTAAAACATACGATTATCTATTATACGGCCCAACGGATAATCGGGACTCTACCGTATACGAGGTCCATACCTCATATTGATACGGCGTGTATTGTATATTACACTGGATAACGGAGACAATGTTGTATGCAATGTGTGGCCTGTACTGCAAGGCCGGATAATCGAAACTTTACTACGTATAATTAATATATTAACGTATAGAATAATTAAAACTGAGGAATTCAAATCGAAGTTCATTTTATTCCTTTCATTTATATAAAATTGCAGATAGATTTTTTTTTTTTTAATTACAGGTAAAATCTAAAAGGTATTGTTTGTTCTTCGAACATTGTTTAATTGTTTTTGCCGAATACTGAGAAAATTAATTTTAAATGTTCCATTATATTATTTTACAATCGAGTGAAAACCATTAATTATTCGATTCTTGTGCAACATTCCTTTCATTATGGTTCAAATGCACACAATCAGGCCCTATGGCAGAGAGGTTAGAAGTGTCATTTAAGTACTACAAGAGGCCCTGATATATTTTTCGGGCCTCAAAATTTGATACAGGAGACGGGTTTGGGAATATCCTGTCCCTCGACACCTGTTTCCTCTTTTGTGGGCCTTGTCAAATCCACGATGGATATGATTTAAAAAGGCCCTCTTAATGCTTACGGAGAGGAAGAGATCCACAAATTTCCTGTGTGTTAAGGCCTACTACTGGGTCTCACCGACCCTTAAATTTATATAATAAGATTTTATATAGAGAAGGTCATTTCTGAGGTGCCACACGCAATTAAACGAAGTCTAAATATAACTTTACACGTAAACATTGAATTATTTTTAAAGGTATTACTGATTATTATTAAGCACAGTTTATAAATAAATCATTAAAATTATGAATAAGACTATTATTATGCACTAAACAATATATTTATAATTAAAAATCAAGCTGAAAGGGTGCAAATTGGAGGTGTTCAAACTCCGTTTGGGATTAAATTTCTCCTCGAGTTGAACTCATTTCATAGAAAAAATGTTTATTTAATATCAAGTCATCGAACCATGTAATGAAGGAATTTAAATTAATTATAATTATAAGGTTTCGAGTGGTTAAATATACATTATAAACATATTTGATAGAGAATTAACGAGGTTGTTTTTATCGGTTTTTTTAAGCAAATAAATGAAAATTTGACGTTGCACTCAATTAAAATATACTTATTTAAACACGAATTTATTATTAAATGCATTTAAAATTAGTAATAATTCTAATTACAAACGTAATTAAATTGATTTTTATTAGCATAAGTGAATAAATAAAATGTAATTATTGAGTTAATTGTATTTATTTTACGTTTAAATTAATAACAGATATATTTGAAGGCTGAGCAATGTGCCTTGCAAAAGTTTTCACTCGGAGAAACCACTAGAAGGGGTTTTTCCGAGTGAAATCCACCCCTAGATCGTTGATTACGAGACGTAAATCTATCGTCATTTAGTGTATGGACCAAATCCCCAGGAATTTTTCGGGGGATGGTCACCACTCAGCCGTCCATTGTGGCCGAATCATAATGGACTTGCTAAAAGAGGCTCTTTTAGTGCCAACAGGAAAGAAATAGTTTAAAAAAAAATTGTGTATGGCTCAGTTTTGTTGTAAGCCTATTGCTCTGGAGAACCCTGGATCGAAGCAGTCGAAAAATTACAGGAATGATCCATCCCGGTTATGTCAGGCCCTGTCTCTGATCACCCAGTCTCGTTGTTGTGGCTGGGCCGAACTGATGACGATAAAAAAGCTCGATTAAAAGGCTCTTTCAGTTATCTTTTCTAAGGCAACGTGACACAAGAGGCGATCTGCCTAGGAGATGCCTCTCGTGAGATCTTTTACGGGAAACTGACCACAATTTCGGTGTTACTAACACGAAGAAAACCCGGAGAACTCTACATGTTCAGGTGCAAACCCACGACCAACTAACTACCAGTGGTTTTATCCGCTTAGCCTGGCTGAAGCCAAACTTATCTTTAGTTCAGCCAGGCCCACAATGGCACAGCCGGATGAGGAGGAACGAGTGTCGTCACATATACGTGACGAATCCCGAAAAATTCCAAGGAATTTCCGACTGTCCAGATCGATTCCGGATCCTCCAGAGCGTTAGGTTGACTCCTAATGCTTGGGGCCTTCGGGCCTATTACCTAATCCCGTGTTATATAATCTAATTAAGTGAAGATCTGTGTTATTTTAATGCTGTTATCTAATATTTTAGATATTAATTCCCCAAATTAATACAGTAAATTCGATACCATTATTTTTGTTATAATTCATTTATTTTTACGAAAAATAAAATAAAATTAATTAAAGGAACGTAATGATGCGAATCTAACAAGATGTACACCAAAAATTAATTAATTACTATTTAATTATAAATGCCTTACAGTCCTTACTACTAATTAATTTTTAATTGTCTACTTACAGTAAAAACCCTTGTACAATTGGATTATATTTCCAAAATTATTAATTACAAATTTACATAACTTCATTCACCATTAAAACATCAAAGATAATGTGATTCTATCAATCATTTATACTGTTTGCTTTTTGTAAACGTTATCCTGAGTTTTTAATTAATAAAATCGGGAATTTATTATACGCAATATCTTATTTATTTAATTATTGTCTTTAGTGGTTTGTAGTAATACCATAAAATACATCTATTTCAATATAATTTGTAATGGGGAATCGTCGGGCCCACCATTGGCCGAGCGGAGAAAACATTGAGCATTAGCGGATGGTCAGGTGGAATTTTGAGGGTATTTTTCTCGTGTTTAGCAGCTAAATAGGGCCACTTTCCTATAGAAAGTTCTCCTGGAAGGAATCGTCACGTCGAAGCGATTAAAGCATTAATTCAAGTATATAGGACAGGAACCTCAGGATATTCTTTTACTGTGTCGCTGTGGGGAGTCAGGATCAAATCTGGAAGCTCTAAAAACCTAAAGTTTTTATCCCGGATATCTCTTACACCCGGCTGTTCCACAGTAGGCCCGTTCGAACCTACAATGAGCGTGATTAAAAAGCTTTCTTAATGCAAACAGAGTGGAAAAAATGAAAAAAAGTACTGTATTGTCTGTGAAAAATTGTATGGGTTGCTCTCTTGCTGTCGATTCCAGTTACCCAGAGCGGTAGGATTGGATTGATAGATTAAGGCAACTCGACACATGGACGATCTGACAAGACGTGGGGACGGTACCCGATATATTATTGTAATAGAATCCCCGTTCCCTCAACACTCCATCTCTGATCCGGCCGGGACAACAATAGGGTTATGAGGGAGAAGGCCCCGAGGTATCCCGAATTGACACTCTAAAATACCTCTAGGATTATTTAGATTGCCCGATTTCCACGTTGGGTCCTCAAGAGCGGGGTGGGCTGACACCTTTTACATCCACAAGCCGAAATTAAAATGATAAATCCTAAACTAATAATAAAATAAGAAAACACGACACTAATCTTAATTAAAATTCTCAGATTTAGATATACTAATAATAAATAAAAGTTATTAAAATCAATTTGTCTTCGCTCTTGCGTATCCCAATAATTCTAATAAAATCTCAATCCAAGCGAGACAATTTCTCTATTATTTACGTAAAACAATAACCTAACAACTATATAATTAACATTTTAAATATATAAACTGTATAATTTTACCTCTGCTTTCAATTTCGCGTAGTTTTTGGACCTCTAATTCGGCATTTCTCACTAATTCTTGGAGGTAATCTTCGTCGATCAAGCTAAACAACTCTTCGATTTCACGAGCAGCCACGAAGAATACGCCCAAAGCCAAGCTGTAAATTACAGAAAAACTTGTCTATAATATTCTAAATCGATTCTATTTTCGTAATTCAAAGAAAAATCTAGAATTAAATAAGCTAGAACGAAGAGAGAACAAAGAAACCGTAGCCTTACCTAAGCGCAACGTTGAAGTACATGTTAATCGGCTGCACTTCACTAGTAATATGATATACGTGCCACCTAACACATGTATATATACATGTAAAGCTCGAAAATCCGGACGTCAATGCAATCTGGAGCCTTCAAAAAGCCTGATTTTGTAAGTATTCCTGCACTCTTTACGAAGTACAGGCCCGTGCTCTGAACACCTGAACTGGAATTTGGAGTTTACGCCGATGAATTCGAAAATCTGGATGGGTTTCGGACCCAATTAATCCGGATTATCGATACTTAGCTGTATATATATGATATATTCTACAGATGTTCCTCATTAAACAAAAAATTTGAATTTTATGATGGTAAATATGTTATGAAATTAATGAAAGCTGTTAGAATTTTGACGCCTGTTGCGGTGTCTGAACATGAAGAATTTAAACAGATGTTTCGATTTGTTCGAGTAGAATCCGATTTTATAACATATTTGAATTATTAATTTAAAAAAAATAGCATTTTAATTTATTACAGGGCTTAAGTTCTTTGTTTTTCGACTAAATTTATTACCATTTTTTTTTTTTTAAATTAAATATGGCGTTCGGATGTCGGGCGTGAATCTTCGTTTATTTAACAGAAAAACAACTTTTATAGTAAAAAAAAATGTCTTTAAATGTTTAGAATTGTTTATAATTTTATTAATTTAAAGAAAATTGTAAAAATTTACTGGGTTCGCGAGGCGGTGTCATGCGATTTCTCGCTTGTCAACACGTGTCGCTTGCCAGGACAACGCGACACGTGGGTGACCTACCAAGGGGGGAGAACATTCTATGGGAAATTGGCTCCTATTCAGGTGTTACAAACGTGAAAAAAACCGAAAAACTCCACGTGAACAGCCCACGTTAACCAGGCTCGAACCTGCGACTAACTACCAGTGTGAAGCGTTTTATTCTTTCGGCCACTGTTGAGGCTTGCGTAATGCAATAGGTAATGCAATTTTCTAGTATCAATGCATTTTATTATTATTATTTTTTTTTTAATGTTCGATTTTATGTTTAAATTAGAGGAAATTTTAAAAATTTAATCTGTTCGTGAAGCAGTGGCACTTGCGAGTGTAGAGAACAGGTGATGCAATTTGCCCTTGTCGATACACTGTTGTGTGTTTTTAATTTTTCCCAATTCGATTTTATGACTTGACTTGTTAAAAAGTGTACAAGACTTTTATTTGTTTTTTTTTATTAAGAGAAAATAAAATATTGCAGCAATAAATATTGTGATTAAATTGTAAAAATATACGCAGTATCTTTTAGGATTTAATACGCACCTGTTTTTTAGCATTTAACGCTGGTAATGGTCGTGGATTCGCGCCTCACCGATCAGCTGGCCACGTGCAGTTTCCCGGGTTTTATTCAGGTTCGTAACAGCAAATAGGGGCCAGTTTTCCATAGAAAGTCCTCTTGGGAAGCCACGATCCTTGGCAGACCACCCTCGCATTGTCTTATCCCATTAATCCATCAACCAATCCTCAATTTTAGAAAGATTTCTTCAGAAGAAATTATGAATGGATCAAGGACAATCAGTTTTTCATGGGAATGTCCCTCCCATCCATCACCATCCTGTCACCCTATAGTGGGTCTGGCCAAACCTATGATAAGCACGAATACAAAGTCCCCAAAGACTAGGGTAGGAAGATGATGGGGTGGAACCACCCTACCACGTCCCTACATATCACGATAAATTCTACATTTGGTAACGTTTATCGGATTTGGGGATGGGGAGGATTCGAACTGTGGTTCCTTACGCGCCACGAATGACTCTTTACTACCTGATAAAAGGGCGATTGGCAATGAAAAAGTACTAAAGGACCCACTCTCTTTGTCTCATAGTTTCCTATTTTATAGAAATTTCGCAGTATATGGGACCTTAAATCACGTAATTTTGCTAAACAATGGCACTGGCATTCTTGTGTGTGTGGCTTAATCAGAATAATAAACGGCTATGAAAGTTATTGTTTATTATTTTATCAAGTGTTTATTAAATAGAGAGGAGTCTTTCAGAAATATCCGTTATTCTCGTTTCAGTAAAATAATCCAACCCTCAAAGTAAAAATATATTTACTTTTTTTTTCTTGGTTTCTTTAACAAAATTTGTCTATAACAAAATGGAGGTAAGTAAACGTAAAAATGAAACCGGAAGGAAAGATGTGGAGTGAATATTGAGGAATTTTTTAAAGAAATGATAATTTTATCATTGAAAGTGAAAAGTGGGTCGGTAGGAATAGCAATGGGATCAGTGGGATTAGCTGTGAAGTCAGTAGGATTAGCAGTGGGGTCTGTAAGACTAGCAGAGGGGTCAGTGGGATTAGCAATGAGGTCAGTGGGATTAGAAGTGAGGTCAATACTGTAGGATTAGCAGGGATAGCAGTGAAGTCAGTAGAATTAGTAGTATGACCAGTAGTATTAGCACTGAGGGCAGTACTGTAGGAATAGCAGGGATAGCAGTGAAGTCAGTAGAATTAGCAGTTTGATCAGTAGTATTAGCACTGAGGCAGTGCTGTAGGAATAGCAGGGATAGCAGTGAAGTCAGTAGGATTAGCAGTTTGATCAGTAGTATTAGCACTGAAGCAGTGCTGTAGGAATAGCAGGGATAGCAGTGAAGTCAGTAGGATTAGCAGTTTGATCAGTAGTATTAGCACTGAAGCAGTGCTGTAGGAATAGCAGGGATAGCAGTGAAGTCAGTAGGATTAGCAGTTTGATCAGTAGTATTAGCACTGAAGCAGTGCTGTAGGAATAGCAGGGATAGCAGTGAAGTCAGTAGGATTAGCAGTTTGATCAGTAGTATTAGCACTGAAGCAGTGCTGTAGGAATAGCAGGGATAGCAGTGAAGTCAGTAGGATTAGCAGTTTGATCAGTAGTATTAGCACTGAAGCAGTGCTGTAGGAATAGCAGGGATAGCAGTGAAGTCAGTAGGATTAGCAGTTTGATCAGTAGTATTAGCACTGAAGCAGTGCTGTAGGAATAGCAGGGATAGCAGTGAAGTCAGTAGGATTAGCAGTTTGATCAGTAGTATTAGCACTGAAGCAGTGCTGTAGGAATAGCAGGGATAGCAGTGAAGTCAGTAGGATTAGCAGTTTGATCAGTAGTATTAGCACTGAAGCAGTGCTGTAGGAATAGCAGGGATAGCAGTGAAGTCAGTAGGATTAGCAGTTTGATCAGTAGTATTAGCAGTAGGATTGATAAGTCACTTTAGCTCATTTTACTTTCCCCAATGACAATTGAGAAAGTGAAAATATTGTCTTAGACAAAGTCTCTATAGATATCCTACAGAAGCGTGTAAAGCTTTAGGTGATGTAGCAGTCGTGTAGTAGGCTATAATACTAATTCAGAAAGAAAGTGTTTTGGATTAAATTTTATTTATTTACTGTATTTTACTGATTTCAAAAGGCAGGAGCGTAGCAAACTGCTTTCTTCACTCATCCTGAAACCAACAAAACATACGAATACAGAAAAACAACAAAACACATACACTAAACTGCTAAAACACACACAATTCAGTTAATTAGTTTAAAATATTATCAAAATCAAACCAAATTACTTAACTCTTAGGCTCTCTACTCTTAAAGGAACCCCTTATGCATAGAGGGAAATAAGGGCCTGCATTTCTAGGGGCCTCAAAAAACATTTTGTTGCAAATGATTCGTGCCGTTGCACCTCCTATATATTAAGAAAAATACTCTCTTTGTTTTTGATCAAACGTCATTAATTAAGGAATATAATACAATTTTTAATGCTGTTTTGCGTTTTTTATACACTGGAGGCCTCAAAAAGGCCGTGAAAGGCATTTGTCAGACTTCGTGCAATGATACAGTTAATTAAACCTCCAAAAAAACGAACCAGTAGCGGATACCGGTATGTACTTTGAGGTCCTATGTGCAATTTTATTATAAGGCCCTTTATGTAATTTTAAATAAATATATATATTAAAAAAAAACAATAAAATCCTTAAACAAAGGTTTTCAAATTCCTTTGACAAAGGTTTTCAGGCATTCACTAAATTTTTAGAGGCGTATTATCATTTTGCTACTTAGGCCTTTTGAGGCCTTGGCCGCACCTAGTGGGCCTATTGGGCAATCCGCCGCTGCAACTGCTAGTGATAAAAACTTAAAAAATGGCCATTTAAAAAAATTATTTTACATGCAAATTTGCTCAACGTTCCCAAAAACATGGTGCCCACTTGATCATTGGCGGGCAACATGTTTTTTGGGAACGTTCAGCAAATTTGCATATAAAATAATGGTAACAAACCATTCAAACCGCTAAACATTGGTAATTGATCGCGGGTTCGCGCTTGGCCATCGGATTGCACGTGGGTTTTCTTCAACTTCCTTCGCCTAAATAGGGCCAAGTTTTCCAATTTCCCCTCGTCAGATTACCCACGTTCTCGTGGTCCTAAGAAAATAAATCAAAGCTAAAATCATGGCCGCCGAATCGCGTCATATAATTAAAATAAAAGTATTTTATTAATAATTCGTAGAATTATTCATCATTCGATAAGTCATTGCCGTTAGAAACACCTGGTTTACAATAACTGTTTATTGACTTAAATTTTGTCGTGTTTCTCTCGATATTTCGATCGAATGAGACGTGACAAGAGCAATAAAATATACACTATTGAACCCTTTGAAAAACCTTTTGAAATAAACAAAAAAATATACATAATAATGCGCCAGAAAGGAGGTTTATTATTACAAATTATTAAAATTTATCAATAGAACTGTGTTATGTAACCATGCAGAGAATCACAAAGAACTGATTGATGGGGTGAGTCAAAGCAATGCGTGGACAATATGCCAAAGGGGGTACCCCCAAAGGACTTTAAATATGGAAAACTGGCCCTTATCTAGGTCACACACGAAAAAAAACCCGGAAAAACTCCGGGTGATCAGATGCGAACCCGCGACAGGCTTGTAAGATTAACCCATATTACAAGCCTGTTGTCGGGTCGCATCTGATCACCCAGAGTTATTCCGGGTTTTTAAGGCAACGTGACACTTGGGCCATCTGCCAATGGGAGGTGCCTCCCGGAAGGACTTTCTACGCGAAATTGGTTCCTATTTAAGCGTTAAACAGATGAAGAAAACCTATTTGGTGAGGCACGAACCCACGACATTCGACTACCTGCGAGATATTTCGAAATTAAGCTTTAAATTGGGTACCCCCACACAACTGCTAACTGGTACCCCCACACAACTGCTAACTGCAACTAACCAGATTTAACATGCCAACAACTATCGCTTATATAATCATTAACGTAGATTTCACACACTCCTTATATAATCTATTTTAAGCATAGATTATCATTTTGTAAATTTAGAAAATATAAAAAAATTAACTATATAAGCCTTTAATTTGCTTAACTTTTTTATCATTTCAAACGAGCTCCTGGTAGATGGAAACCTGCCTTCTGGTTGATATCGCTGACCCTCAAGATCCGAAATTTGAATTTCGGGTTTTGATGGTCAGCGATCCTTCTGCAAGTTTTAATCTATTATATGAAGTGCATAGCACTCAGTACCTGGTGCGGTACACAAGGTATTATACCTGTAAGTGCATAGTACTTTAAACTACTGGTGTGACCTTTATGGGTATGGTGCATAAGGTCTAGTAGAGGGTGGTGTTGCAATGAAGTTTGTGGGACTTGCTGGTACGCTCACGTAGGTACAGCAAGGGATGGTGGTGGTACCATCTGGAAACGGGATGCTCTTGTGGACATGGACTCTACAGCTCTGTTAAAGTCACAACAGACCATTTTACAAACCCATTATGAATTCTGTCAGGTCCACCAAACCCGCGATAGGCCCGAAAAAAAGCTCCGTTAGTGTTCACACAATGGAGTCAAAAAAATGGGAAGAATGTCTGCGTAACTTTTCATAAACAAACAAATTCGGTTATTATTAATAATTTTATATATTTCCAATTTAAATTTTATAATTTTAAAATACAATTAAACAATTTTAAAAGTTAATTTTGAAAAAAAAAAAAAAATTAAAATGTTACTCGGTTTTTAATCGGCAGGGGTCGTTGGATGAACTTAATCGGCGTGACTTTAGTCTTTTGTTAAATTTCGGTATTTTAAGTGAAATTTGATCAATAACAAGCGAATTTTGTGATTTATATTTCTGTGATCAAAACATTAATAGAAAAAACATGAACATAAGGTGTGCGAAGGTAAGATTATTTAGAAATGTCGTATATAAAACCTATACTTACTTAGTTAAGATAATCACGTGGGTACGATTGCCGCGAAACTATCATTTTAGTAAATAACTTATTTTATAAGAAATGGAACTAATATTGATTGATTGAATATTGACAATTTATAAATGTTTTATGACCTTAGTACAGTTTTTTAAATTTTAATGTAAAATTAATTATGCATATTATTCTCTAGAGTCAGGTTCTTTTAAATTAGTTTTTCACATCTTTCAAATTTTATTTTCAATACTCTGATAGTTTTATAAACACATGCATTGTACAGTCCACATACTGGATAACGAGGATTAAAAGTATTGCAAATGGCATTTACAATTAATACGGATCACATTCCGACGTTGCCAGCAAAATGATTAATTTAACTGACTAACTAAAACTGTCAATGTTATTTGATGCAGTATATAATTTTTAAATTAATTTCTTTTAATAAAATAATTATAACCATGTGTTTTTTTTTACCTTCTCCATTCTCCCCTATGTAGTCTTTTGTGGTCTTTTATTAATTAGGATGTGTGGTATACAGTTAATTAGTTAATAGTCAAAAATATGTTACTTGTTGTCTCTAAAAGTAGGCTACACTTGAAGTCCTATAATTGCATGTGTATCTACATCCTACATCTTATAATATAATTGAGATGGGATGATGATGATGATGATAAATAATAAGAGCAGAACCCAAATGGTTAGCAGCAGGGCTGTGGAGTCGCATAGAAATCTACCGACTCCGACTCCAACACCAAAACTCCACAGCCCTGGTTAGGAGTTGAAATTTGGTACATAGTTAGGATATACCATGAGAATGCACGCTAAGAAGGGATTTTTGGAAATTCTCTGTGGGGAGAGGGAGAGGGTTAATAATAATAATAATAATTTTTTTTGTTTTTCTTTTTTTTGTAAATTGCTTTGCTTATTTCTTCTTGATCATTCTTGATCTTGGAACACTTTTTGAGTTAATTTCAAGTGCTTGCTTGACCTTGTATTTGAGGTGCATTATTCCAAAATGCATCTCATCCATTTTTGCTTAATTTTTGGTATACAATAAAATTTTTAAGTGTTCGATTCAACAGTGTTAAGATTCGTTTATAGAACGTGTAAAATGGAATTATAATTTCAATGAGGAATTGGGAATGTATTGAAGTTTATAAGATGGAGTTTTGGAATAATTGAAAGTGTGGATAAGATGCAGTTTGGAATGATGTGCCTCGACACTAATAGTAATTTGACACAATTTAACCTCATAGTAGTTATTACTGTCTTTTGCTTTACTTTTCTGGCATCATTTTCAATTTACCCGACTAATTTCCGATCCCTGAAACTCATTTTCAGTTGACCCCAGGGTAACTATCCGACACTGGGTCAAATTTTCAGGAATGACTTAAGGGATTCCCATTCTTGATTTTGGATCTCTCAAATAGTAACCTGACCTTTATTGGTCACTTTGTTGTGTATTATATACTTAGAAGTTTATTATGTTGGAGGAGTAATATAATATTACACTTATTAATTTTTTTTTTCTTTTAATTTAGCCAGAGGATCTTATGAATATGCAGCATTGCAATTTACTATGCTTACCAGAAAATTATCAGATGAAATATTATTTTTATCATGGTTTATCATGGCCTCAGGTAATGAATTTTTTTAGCATTTCATATTAAGTAAACTTAATTTTAATTAATTTAGAAGAACAATACAAATATGATAAAGTAAGGTGCGTCCCATAAATATGAAGGCACAATTTGTTATGCAAATAAAAGCTAAACTAATTATCGTATAACGAAACAAATTTAATTTTGAGGTAGTTACAGCTTACAAATAAATGTACTAAAAAATCATGTAATTATATTGAAAAACAACTTAACAATAAATTAATTTAAATCAAAATTGCATTTCTTGCTGTCCCAAAATTATAAAGGCATAATACAAAATCACTAGAACAGTAGAAAGTATTGTTAATGATAATCAACTAATTATCATCCAATACACCTCTCTTTTTTCATAATAACTTTGTAGATACACAGTCTGACATTGATTGTATAAGCTTTTAAAGGACTATTGTAGTTATTTTTTCCCAGTAGATGTTAATTGCAAGTTTTAACTCATCTACACTGCTATATTGGCACCCATTAGCTTATACAGCTCTAGTTAAGATCCCCCAGAGGTTATCCATTGGATTCAAATCTAGAGAATGAGCTGGCCAATCAGTAACTGGAACTCCATTACTTAAAAACCACTCATAAGCTGATCTAACTGTGTGGATAGGGACATTATCTTGTTGGAAAAACCAACGATTTCCAGCAATTATATCAGCCCAAGGCAAAAGATAACTTTCTAGCATGAAAGATAACTTTCTAGCATTCATTCGGCCACTGAGGAATACAACATTTGTCTTGCCAAACCAACTAAACCCACCCCATACCATCATTGAGCTTCCCCTTTGCAGCCGTTTTGAAAATATTTCTTCCTCACCCCTCAAATGATACCAATAACAAGTCCAACCATCTGGTCCATCAAGATTAAATTTCTTCTCGTCACTCCAGATGATGTGCTTCCAAGTGTCTGTCCATCCTGTTTTCTCCTGTGTCCATTGCAAGCGCTTTTGCTCATGGATGGGGTTAGTGATGGCATAGGCTTTTTCATTTTATAGATGAGATCCTGACATGTACTAATAATTCTTCCAACTGTAGATTTTGATACATTAAGCTCTAGTTTTGATGCTAGTCTTCATAAAGATGTTTGGTTGCTTTTGATTTCCCTCAAAATACCAAGTTTTCCTCTATTTGTAAACTTTGAAGGTCAACCTGTTGATTTCTTTTTGTCTGTATTTGTCTCCAAATTTTACGAAATTGTCAATTACAGTTGGAGTTGGAGAACGATTAATTTTTTTTTGCAATTGCTCTTTGCTGAGTAATTTTAATCTCTTAAAGCTGAAATATTGCCTTTTTCAACATCTGTTAAGGGTTTTGCATGTGCCGTAATGAAAAACAACTCATTTACATCAATATGTAACAGAAATAAACATTTGAAATATGTGGCAGTTATACTGTACGACCTCTATTGTTAAAAAATCTAATCTGCCTTTGTTTTTGGGACAGTGAGAAATGTGATTGATTTAAATTAATTTATTGTGAAGTTGTTAAACAATATAATTACATAGTATATTTATTTGTAAGTTGTAACTACTTTAAAGTTAAATTGGTTTTGTTATATAATAATTAGTTTAGCTTTTATTTGCATAACAAGTTGTGCCTTTATATTTATGGGATTCACCTTATTGTTTGGCAACTCAACACTGCTCTTATGTGTATATAGTACAATAACATTTTTAATATGTTTGGCCTGCCAGTGGTTGAGTGGATAAAACCACGGAAAACTGCTAGACGGTCGTGGATTTGTACCTCACCTAAGGGCTAGCTTTGTGGAATTTTCTGGTTTCTTTATGACTCTAACACATAAATAGGGGCCAATTTTTAACAAAAGTCCTCCTAGAATGTATTGTGTTGCCATATTCTCCATCAAACCAAACCTTTTAATGCTTTCTTGAAAGCATTTTCAACATTAAAAAAGAATTTAAGTTACGTGTTCATTTGAATTGAATTGAAGTGATTGTTGATTAACATAGCCAAAAAAGTATTGGCTCATTATTGGTGTGATGATGCATTGTCTGACAATCTGTGCTGTTGAGTGCTCTTATGCATTCTGGAGATAAAAAGGAACCTGTTCTTTTTTGAACAAATAAAGTTAATAAAAAACTCTCTTATGTAAAGTAACATTAATTTATAGGGGTAGAAACTACTAGGAGTGTCTGTTAATCTGGTCCTAGGGAAAAATCTCCAGCTTCTCTTCTCAACAACCCCAAAAACATGCATTTTTATTTGTCCGTAATGAATCCTATATGCATCAATAGTATATTTTATAAATTCTTTTCAAAATGAAATATTATATCCACAAGTTTCCAGAACATGTTTTGAATGCTGCCACATCACATTTTGGGCTGCAATTTGAAAAAATTGTAGACCTATAAATTCTCACTGTCATCTGTCTGTCCTTCCTTTATCTTAGGAATATCAATAGAGTTAGATAGATTAAAGCCAACACCAGATAGGGAAAGTGTAAGGGCAGGAAACCCCAATTAACTATATGTGGACTTCTGATGCAAAATAGAAGTCATATTATTTCAATTCAAAAATTTCCCCCGAAAGGAGTTAGTAATAGAGTCACACCAGCCATTTATCTAACAGGAAAAGTATGGTGTACGGGGCAAGACACTACTAATTTGAGTTGGAGCACATATATTTTAGATTAAATAAATTAAAAATCGCAGCCTAGCATTGTGATGATGTCAAAATAATTATATAAAAACTCTTATGGAGGTGTTAAGTGGGTGTTATGATCAGATTTCTGTTAGTCATATCAAAATCAATTTTATTCTCAGTCCTGTATTTCTTGTAGTATCTTAATGGGGGCACAACAGCATGGGAAAATACACGAATTTCACCTGGAAACATGTGGATAAGACTAAATCAATTAAATTATGCTTTGTATGTACATACATACTATTGTACCTTCTGTTGAGTTTACAACTATAGCATCGTATGTCTTATTAAAAAAAAATTTTTTAAATGTACAAAGAAATTACTTTTAGGGATGACGAATAATTTTGTTTAATTTTTATGTTATTTACTTACTTTAGTAGGTCTACACTATAGAAAAGCCATAACTTACAAATGTACATAGTGTATATTTTGGAAAACTGTATAACCAGAGGGTATATACTATATTTTTATAGAAAAGTACAGGATATACAGTTTACGTTATCATATATTCTCCACCACAGTTATGATTGTATGCTCATATTTTTTTTAATGTTTCAAAGGTTATTGTTATATTCTCATACATATCAACATATTTAAGCAATTGAAATGTCTAACAATTTTGTTTGAATTATATTATTTTTCCGTCTTCAATTGTTAAGCAGCGTATTGAAACTGCCCATTATTGATACTGTCTTTGTATAAATAATTCAACTTTGTTAGAAGTTAGTCGGTCCGCCAAATTTAGCTTGCCACTGTAGCTGGTGGGGAGCCAATATTGTAACTGTTCGCTTGTTAAGTATTGTCAAAACTGCTGCCATTTTGAATAGTTTTCAACAAGAATTTGTCTTGGATAATAAAATCCTAAATGTGGATGCCAGTGCACAAGAGACATTGCATTTTCATGCATTGGCAAAAATATTTTCAAGAACCCATTGTAGAATATTACTCCTAAAAGTTTAACAATTAGATAAGAAATGCAATGTAACCAGAGCTGCAGTTGTTTAGTTTGTTTTTCTGAATTGATTAAGTAAAATTACAAAAAATTTATGGTGTAACAATAATAATCGATTTTTCAAATATTTTCTATTTTAACTGTTTTGCTATCATTAATTTCAGATGTTTCAGATTAACTTTTCAGATTTAATAAGGACATGTTATTAAAAACCACTACGAAATCTTTATTGGTCCATTTTAAAGCAAAAATACTAAAAGTTACATCTTATTTATTACTAAACCGTAAATATATCAAAGTAAATAAGTGTTTCCTTAATAGAGGAATTCTTCATATGTCGTTAATATTTTCAAGATTCTTGTCTTCAGTTCCATCTTTTGAATCCATTCTACTTAATTGCTTTACTTACACCACAGCTAACAAATGTTTATATCTAAAAATATGTTCATTTTTGAGTAGTCGTCCTTGTTTATTTGTCAGTCTTTCGACATTATGGCCTTATTCATTTGTATAATCTTAAATAAATTTTCCATAGAATGTATGTTGTCATTCTAAGACTATAAATTGAATAAGTGTTCTGATCATCATATACTATATTCCATTTTCAAAAATTAATGTCTAATTGTTTTAGAGATGAACGTGTGCCAATTTTAGAATTGCCGACATAAATGGCTTAATGCATGCAAGGATGCACTGGTGCTCCAACCCAAATGTGACTTTATATATATATATAATTTTTTTACATTTAATCTCTCTCATATGTACATATAAAAAATTATCATCCTATCAATTGAATTAGTGGTGAAAAGGTATATCACCACTTACAGAATTCCATAACTTGTCATGTGGTAATGTCTCAAATGCCGCAGAATCTATTTTCTGATGTGTCGAAAGCTCTCTGTGTTTCTACAAGAAACTCAATTCCACATGCAAACAGTTCCTCTTATGTCAACAAGCTACTGCATCAGATGCTTGCAATAGAAAACCACAAAGTTACAAAGGTTACATTCTTGATGGTTTGCAAGTGTCTAGCATACAAAAAACCTTGTTGTTGTTTGACAACTTCAATTGAATACGTGCCACTTTTATGTACGAAGGTAGGCTGAAAAGTAATGCACACATGCCTGTAAAACAAAAACAAATAGCAATATCGGGCAAAAAGTACATTAAAGTACCATTCTCAAGCTTCAAAATCATATATTTATTTTTCAATATAGTCACCGTTAAGGATAACACATTTCTCCCAGCGTGTAACAAGTTTTTTCATTCCAACTTTTCTCGAATCCAGGACTTGACAGCTGCCTTCACCTCATTGTCCGAGGTGTAATGATCACCCTTGAGGTCTCTCCTGAGTAGAGGAAAAAATAAAAATCGCAAGAACAGGGGAATAATGAGGGCATGGAATCGGTTCAAACTTCAGGTTTCGCAGAGCATTTCCAGTTGCGCGCTAGGTGTGTGGACAAGCTTTGTCATGTTGCAAGATTATTGGCGCCAGGCTGCCTCTAATAACAAATAATCACCTGGAGCCAATAATCTTGAAACATGACAAAGCTCGTCCACACACCTAGCGCGCAACTGGCAATGCTCTTCGAAACCTGAAGTTTGAACTGATTCCATGTCCTCCTTATTCCCCTGATCTTGCGCCTTGTGATTTTTATTTTTTTCCTCTACTCAGGAGAGACCTCAAGGGTGATCATTACACCTCGGACAATGAGGTGAAGGCAGCTGTCAAGTCCTGGATTCGAGAAAAGTCTGAAGAATTTTTCAGTGACGGAATGAAAAAACTTGTTACACATCGGGAGAAATGTGTTAGCCTTAACGGTGACTATGTTGAAAAATAAATATATGATTTTGAAGCTTGAGAATAGTACCTTAATGTATATTTTACACTTTAAAGCATCTGGACTTTTCACTCTTGCCAATAATAAGAGGAAATTCTTTGTCGGTTCCATTTATCTGAGCATGTAACATTTTTCTTCTTTGAAGATGTGTTTTCAATCAATGGGGTAGCATCCAATAAAATAATACTGCTTCATATTGTACACGAGTCTTTTAAGGTGCAAGTTCAGTACACATATTATTCTATTGCTTTGGATCTACTCTGTCTTTTCTGCAATACTGTTTTCAAAACCATCAACCCTGCAGCAATTGACTTAAAATTCAGATTGCGGAACTGTCTGACATCAGGTACCTTATCAAGAAGTATGGGACACTAATTGGAAGATTTTTGGAATGCATTGCTTTTGGTCATTTAAGTGGTTTGTTCTCAACATCAGTACTAATTATGACAAATTGCATCTTATTAGTTTTTCATGTTATTTTTGCTACTGTTGCATAGGATTTCTTCAAATTTTCTATATTGTATATTCTTGCCACTTCAAAGAAATGGCTTTACACTTGTTTGATTTCATGTTTTGTTACACACTCTCACAATCCTGCTTCAACCTGGCAACTTAAGTTTAAAGCCAATAGTAGTTAAGGTTCATATATGAAGGCAATTTTGCTGTGTAGGAAAAAAAGGAGTACAGTAATGTATATAAAAGAAACAAAAAAGGAAGACTCGGTAGGAGAACTGTTCTGTTTAAATTAATATATAAAAGTGTCATGCAAAATTATGCTGTGTAGCAAGCTAATTCAGTAAGGAAAAGAGAAATACACTACTTGCATACAAAACAAAAAGAAATGACAACTCTACATTGCCGTAAAGCTTCTTCATCAGATTTTTTTACCTTGCTATCGTAACACGACTTGGTTTCGTTCATCCAACAAGTCCGCTTTCATCCCTCTTTTTGACCATTCAGTGTTGCAGCAGATTTTCTTGGCTTATTCTTGAGTTTGTACTGGAGCAGAGGCATCATAGAATCTCCCTAGAGCAAATGGTGTAATTACTTTGTTCAAAGGTTTCTAATCCTTACAGCAGCACCAATTCAAAAAACTGGGCAGAATTTTTTTTATGTAGTGGTGAATCAAGGTAGAAATTTTAACTGTGTTATAAGCATGCTGTATGTTATAATTGAATAAACTTGACTGTGTATGTTAATAAATACTCCCAAAAATACACTGCTGGCCAAGTAAAATGCAACCTACAATATCTAGAGGCCTACATGGTGTTGCATTTTACTTGGCCAGCAGTATATACTATTTTATTTATTTAAACAGAAAAGACATTGTATTTGATATGAAAATATATATATCATAATGAATTTTAACAGAACTATGATGGTCATATATTTAATTATTAGTTGTCGTATGTAGCCGAGGATGAAAAAGGCAAGATTGTTGGCTACGTTTTGGCAAAAATGTAAGTTGTGAAAAAAATTTCTTTTTCACAATAGCATAAGAATGCTGATTGTAATCTATTTCATTTGAATGAAATGCTCAATGCATTACTGTTTTGTAGGGAAGAAGACTCGGATGACGATCCACATGGACACATCACGTCGTTGGTAAATGCCCTTGTTTTTGTCCTAATTTTATTGAAGTGATAGTTTGTGAAGATTTTAAAATACAAAACTAATTTCTTTTCATTAAGGCCGTGAAAAGGTCTCATAGAAGACTTGGACTCGCACAGAAACTTATGGACCAGTCATCAAGATCCATGGTAGAGTGCTTCAATGCAAAATATGTTTCTCTACACGTCAGAAAAAGTAATCGAGCCGCACTACATCTCTACACAAACACTTTAGGATTTACGTAAGCCATTGGTTTTTTTTTTATAAGAAACATAATTTGCAATAGACGACGCTCATAAGACACTTTCTGCTTTCAGAATCAGTGAGGTCGAACCAAAGTACTATGCGGACGGAGAGGACGCCTACGCAATGAAGAGAGACTTGGCAACTTTTGCAAATCAGACAAATGAAAGTTCGTGATTGGAAAGATTTCTTTTTATCTCGAATGCCAAATGACTCTCTTAATCAAAATTATGATTTGTGCTTGTGATATTTATTCAAATTTTTGTTCCTTTTGAAAAAAAAAATTTGGCAGATCCTCCTTTTTTCCTCTGTAAATAAAATTTTCAATGAACTATTCTAATTTGTTTTGAGATAACATTATTCATTTGTGCTAATTTATATCTACATTAAAATCAACCAAATTATACAAGTTACCTGCTACATTTTGAGTTCTTGAACTTTAAAGTTGATAAGATTTTACACATTTCCCTAACTTTTTATAGCTTACCTATCTAATATTGTGGATGGTAGGGTGTTTGAAGTTAGTTGCACATATATTTATTTATTTTCCTCCCCTTAATGATGGTCCTGTGAGGACAAGTTACCATTTTGTGTACTATCGATGAGAAATAAAAACTTTTAATTAGTTGCTGGTAATTATGAGTACAGTAGAGCATCGATTATCCGAACCTCAATTAACCGACCGTTCTAGTCGGCAAATTTCAAATGTCCACTAGTGATGTGGCATTACAATATTTGGCTATGTCTTGTCTACTTTAATATTATTTTTCTTTTAATTATGTGAAACCATGCTTTGAAATTCATTTCTGGTTCTAACACAATAAAGGCGGTTTTTCTCATCTTAAACCGCCAAGTGTCTTAATTTATTGCACTTTATTGTGTTAGAAGCAGAAAAGAATATTATTTTTGTTAAAGTTTTTGCATGTTTTAGCTGGCATCAATGGCTCGACCATTGAAGGGAGGGCAATATTTAAACGAAACTTAATTTTCTAATTATAAGTGGTTGTTTGTTTCGTGAGCAATAAAATAATTTTAAAATAATTTTTAATGATACAATAGCAACTATTATTATTTTAAAAAAATTTGTTAGGCTAAACATCAACGAAAATTCAACGCAAAGTTGGTTAATAGTGATATACTAATAAACTAATTACATGGGATATCCTAATATACTATACTAATAATGTATTTTTTCCTTCTTTACGGTTATCCGACCAACCGAGTCCCCAATTGAGTCGGATAATAAAATGCTCTACTGTATTATACAGCTTGATGTATATAATATCCTTCTTAACAAGAACAATGTTTAAAATATTATAAGGGCTTTCTGTATGTTAAAGTGCTATGTTCATCTGTTGTAAGGTATTTTTTAAACTATTTAGAGTACAGATTAACAGAATTTAACTTTTGACTAGTTGACAGTTCAAACCGTTAAAGGCGCATTGATTAAATTGACAGAATGACTAGTGGCTAGATTGTCCTTAATAGAAAGTCTTTTAACCTCATTCGTTATGACATCATCTCTTAAATTTTGATTAATAAATTGGTGAATAACTTGGCAGTTTCAGTATATCATTCATTATGCTGTTTATATTAAGCTGCTTAATAAACTAGATGAGACTAATTATAGATATTAGATGGCTGGGTGGCCAAAGCAGTTAAGGTACCAGCCTACCATTCTTGGAACCCAGAATTGAATTCAGCAGACGAAAACCCCAAGACTTGTGGGGTGGTCTGTCCAAAATATCAGGCCCAACTGTGAACCTGACCACACGATGGAATTTTCTTCAAAATTTGCCATACTTGATTTTACTGTCAATTTATAATTATAAATGAAAATAAGAAGTTCTAAACATTACAGTTTCATTTCAACAAAAAGATAAATTGAAGATAACCTTTACATTGAAGAACAATGGGGATTTCAGAGATGTATATTTCTTAAGTTAATTGAGTATAACATGTGTCACTCAAAGTCCCTCTATGTGCAAACTCCTGGTCACTTGGCACAAATCCAAGCAATAATTAAACTCTGCCAATTTAAGCACATCCAGTGTGATAATGAACACTGTATATCATGCAATAGTTAAAGACATGCAACTATTCTACAAAAGGAATCCCCAAGGTATATCAACTCTTATGTATTGGGAAGGACAAACAAAATGAATATAGGATTCCTGGATAAGAGTCCTGACATGGCACTTTACTGTGCCAGGTCAGGACTCAGATTCAACATGTTAAAAGAATATGTAGATCATCATCCCACCCTCTCCTAGCAAGACTGTGAACATAAGACCAATGTAAGGAAAGGGCTATTTATTTGCCTATGCCGACCCTGAGACAGGTGGGTAGATCTGAAAAGGTTAAAAAAAAATGTTTGTTTTAACATATCTGCTGAAGTTTAAAGGTCGGTGAGAAACATTTTTGATTTATTATTTGATTTTAACAATGAACTCTGGTCAAATATTAAACTGACTTCTGGAATGTCTTACAGGAAAGGTGTGGAACCTATTTTTCATTTAGAAAGCCATATAAAAGATATAAGACTGCATGTTGTATTGTACATATAACATTCAGTATACATACAAATATATTAATTACACACAGTGACTTCTAATAAATAAAAATATCTAAAAAGTGAACAGATGCCTGAGAACAGTATTATATCATTTCATGCTTTATTGGGCCATTCTACAAGCCATAAATTCCATACCAATGTAAACTTTGTATCTTTAAGTTCTAGTCAATAATCAGCTACCAATTTACTATAGCATTTTACTGAAATTTATTTTTCTACATTCAAACAGGAGTTCTAAATTACAGTAAAACCTCTCAAACTCAAATATTTCTTTAACTCAAAGAAAACAAAGCACTTGGTAAGTCTGAAAGGAATAGTGTCGGGATTTAATGTCTCCAACTTAAATTTTCTCCAAGTCAAAGTTTTTCATGGTTCCCTACACCAATTTATGTTACTTTCAACTTCCTTGATTCAAATTTCAACATACAGGTAACCCCTGTATAACACGGCACTTCTATAGCACGAATTCACTCTAACATGGTTAGAGAATTGGGAACATCCTCCATATAACAGTGCTTTTATAGCATGGATTCACTCTAACACGCTTTGGGTAAAACCCTCGTACAACATAAAATGTAATAAAGGGTGCGTTCTTTTATACCTCTGCACGAGCATTATAATTGTTTTCGTGGCTACTTTGAATGCTCTTTCAACAAATAATCCATTTAATGGTTAAATTTTACAATTGGGACCCTTTTGCCTCTAAAAGTTCATTTTAGAATTATAGATTCCTCCACACGATACTATCGATAATGAGGGCGCCGCCATCTTTCTTTCACCATCATTCCTAAATGCCTACAAACAGCGGCGCACTCCTGTTGCAGAGCAACCGCTATTAATGAAGGCACCTAAAAACTGTTACCAGTTGATGATGCTCATGCTGAGATCATCATATAAAATGAATAATCCTCTGGTAAAATATTTACTTAAATAATAAATAAGTATTTTACCTATGAAAAAAATGAATAATAAATCCGATTTAAATAAGGATTTAACAACATGCTTTTTAATTTTTGGAACCTAACCCCTCTTTTTGCACTAGTTCTTTGTTTTGTATAACACGGCAATTTTTTGGAACATAACTCCCGTGTTATACGGGGGTTACCTGTATATTCTATCTAAAGTGATCCTAATTATCGGATTTCCATGAAATTTTCAGACAGTTGTATCTACTCTCCAACACCAATTGAGACTATGTTCCAGTCCAAAGTGAGGTCCTCTCACTTTATCTTGACAAAAATAACAGTACCTGCAAAACTGTTTGATTCCATTAGCTACATTGAGCATTTTGCTGAAAGGCATTACACGGGCTGTTTAAAACAAAGAAAAAAAAAAAACACTATCAAAGATTCTTTACACAATGCAAGAGAGGTAAAAGTACAAATCTATTCAGAATCAGCATTTTACTCTATTGTACTGTAATTCAAAGTTTTTCCCTGCCTTTAGAACTTTGTTAGAGAAGTTTTACTGTACTTTTTAAATTCTATAAACAAAACACAAGTTACTTTAATGTGATAGCTATCAGTTCATGTAATTAATTAAATTTTATTTATGTTCGTTTATATTAAAACTTGAGCAATTTATAAGGGAATTTCATGGATGGCCACATAAGATTATAGTGTTCTACTTTACAACTGATTTATAATTTGGCTAGTATTCCACTCACTAAATCAACAAAATAGTTGTACTTTCAGATGATATATAATAAAGCTTTTATAAACAATGCATGTATTTCTTAAGAAAGTTCCTCAAATGTAAATCTAATTTAAACAACTTTATTCAGAGAAATTATTCTTAAATAATTAACATAGCTCCATGTTCATCGTCAGGAGTCAACAAGAGATATCTCGTTGATTTCTGACGATGGACACATAATCCAAAGCATTAGTTTGCTCCAATAACAGCAGTTATAAGTAGATATATGTTTTATACATTAAAAGAAAATAGTCAAATATCATATTATTCCAAAAATAAAATATGAAAAGTGTTAATTTAAGACTATATTTTAAAAAATGTTTCATATTTAAAAGAAATAACTGTCAAAAAAAAGTTAAATTGTCATTTAAAAAATAAGATCAAACTACTAAATTCGAAAAATAATCAAAATAGCCTTTTCTTTTGAGGAAAAATATGTCGAAACACAAGAATGACTTGTAGCCATTAGCATGCAATGACTTTTATTATACGCTTATGAAAGTACTACAAAATTTTATATATTATATACTGTATATATTTTTTATATATATATATATTTATATATAACTTGTGTTATGTACAGAGCAATTGCCACCAATGGCTTAGAAATACATCCATTCAAATAATTACAATAGAAACATATAAAACTCATTTTGTGTCGGGTAAACATCTTTCTTTTCTAAGTACTAAATTTTATGATTTTGCTAGATTAATTTTGAACCACTGACTTTGATCTGACACTTGAAATAAATAAGCCTAAAACTATAATTCCGTCCACGGGAGTAGGAATTAATTTTTCTTAATGTCTTTTCTTACCAATTTTGATGTCTTTTTTTTTTGTTTTTATATCTATTTTTAGATGAAGACAGTTATTGGCACATCACAACAATGCGCGGAATGTATGAGATGAAATTTTAAGAATGGCTAGCTTAAAAATTTTAAAATGTGCATCGTTTTATCAAAATAATAAATCGGAGATACGTATATGAACAATTATTTAAAGAGTATATTTTCGTTTTAAATGGAAGAATAACAATAAGAATTTGGAAAAAATTTCGTTAAGTGCAACAATGTTTTTTTTTTTCTTCTTTAATCTCATTTCTTCGTACGAAATTTCTGAACATTTCATAAAATTTCTGGGATAAATGTGTATTAATACTTGAAAATTTGTTCAGACTATTTAATATTAAGATTTTATTCTGATTTTCGTATCTGATGTAAAAAAGAAAATTAAAAACAGAAAAAAAAGGGAGAGAGAACAGAAAACCAGAACTTCAAAAATGAATTTTTTTACATTATCAAACACCCGTGCCTAAGATAAAATTACATTCGTAAAGTATCGACAGATTTTACTCAATGCACAAAATCTGCAATGCCTCCTATCGACAATATTTCACATGCAAAACTTATACAATGTTTTTAAATCTGT